GAAAGAAACAATAGATGTTCCCTGGCTATATGGGGTATATTTTTGTAGGTTTTTTTCAAGACTGAGAAAAACAGGGAGTTTCTCTATGTGTACTATATCAGGATTACAAAGACCATGCCTTGAAAATCATCTTCAAAAGTTAAAATTTACTCCTAATGGTAGGCATTAATTTAGCCAGACTTTCTCAGGTTGTTCATTCTGGCAGACTTACACAGAAGTGTTTCCATGTCATTTTGTTCAGTTGTGTAAGGCTTTGGTTATTACTTCGTATTTACATTTCTCCGAACCCAAGTAAAAATTTGTTTGTTGGTTTGGACTCTTAGAAAAATAACGGATTTCCTTATTTCAGCAGCAAAACTGGACTGTATCTCTTAATGAAGTCAGTAACCTAGGGAACCAGATAAAACCCCTTTATCCCTTTACAGTGAAAGTAAAAATAGGTATTTCTGAGATCCCCTTGAGTACAGCAAATCCTAAGGCAAATATCCTATCCTTGCTGCTCTTTTAAGTCCTTTTAGGGACCAAACATGTGATGGTCCTTTACACTTAACATGCTGCCCATTAGAGGGCAGTAGTGCACAGACACAGAACCGGGGGAAACCAGTTAGTAGATTTGCATCTTGTAAACCCGGTATGTCATACTTTAGTAAATTTATCTAAGGTCTGCATTTTGATGTAGAATATTTCTACAAGTACAGATAGGGTCACCTTTGAACTTTTAACTTGGAGTTTTCAAATGCCTGTTGTGTGGATTTGGTTTGCAGTTTTTCTGATTTTATTTATAGGAATATTGTTAATGAGCAACATCATATATATCCCCAGTTTCCTCTCCCTCCTATGCCCCCTGACCCCCCTCCCAACACCGCCCCCCATTCCACAGGGAGGGTGATGCCTTCCAGGAGGGATCATCAAAATCTGTCAAGTCGCAACATTTTTTCTTTAATAAGTGATTTATTTATAGACTGCTACTGCTACTTTTACTGCAAGTACAATCGCTATTGTTACTAACAAGTAGTTGGTGTAGCGATCTTAGAAAGGAAAGAAATACATTTCATTTTAACACATGGCATACAAAAACATAAGTACCTAGTATTATCATAATTTCATATCTAATCTTGTTTCTGGGCTGTCTGTTCAATTTGTTCATTTAAGTTTATATAAGTTTGGATACATCTGGAAACCTAGACTCACCCATTTTCTCTCTGTTCCTCAGTTCTCTGTTACTGGGACAAGATACCTGAAACAATGAACTTACAAGGAGAAAAGAATAGTCTTGATTCTATGGTTCAGAGACTTTCAGCAGTAGCTTCTGGACTCTGATGTTTTGGACTTTGATAGCATAGTTACCATGACTAGTATACATAGTGGAAAAAGCTATTCATCTCACTGTAACTAGGAAGCAGAGACAAGAAAGGGCCAAGGGTGCATACTTGTTCCTAACTCCTAAAGATTTTAGCATTCCTAATAGCACCAATAGCTGGTGACAGAGCCTAGTGTATGAGTCACTGGGGGGCATGTAAGATTCAAGCTGTAATGTTTTTCTGAACTTCCTTGACTTTTTGTGGGTCTTTGTTCTTTCCTATAAAAATTACAGATTTTGACTAGAAGTGCTGTGTGTGCCCTTTGTTTTTCTAAACGACCTTAAATCATTGTTAGAACAGCAGGTAATAGAGATGCTAAGAAAAATAAAATGTAACCCGCATTATTACAAAAGGTTATTTTTAATATGTTAAAAGTTGTTAAAATGAGGAGGCTAGGGATATGGCTCAGTGGGTAAAGCCCTTACCATATAAACGTGATGGCCTGAGTTCAGATCTCCAGAGCTCATATAAAAACAAGACACAGTTGCCAGGCATTGGTGGCACCCACCTTTAATCCCAGCACTTGGGAGGCAGAGGCAGGAGAATCTCTGTAAGTTCGAGGCCAGCCTGGTTTACAGAGTGAATGCCAGAACAGGCTCCAAAGCTACAGAGAAACCCTGTCTTGAAAAAAAACAAACAAACAAAAACCCCAAAACACGGGGTGGTGTCCAAGTCCATACTTCATTTCAGTGTGCTTCTGTGTGGAGATGGAATGTAGAGACAGGAAAAATGCGAGAAGCATGAAAGCCAGCTAGCCCAGCCTACATGGGGGTGAACAAGAGAGAAACTGTCTCAAATAAGATGTAAAGTGAGAACCAACACCTAAAATTTTCCTTAGACCTCCACACACACTCCTTAGGTATACATCCATGATGACACACTATGAACATATATGTGTGTGTGTGTATATTGTATATATATACACACACACACATATATATATATACATATACACAAAAAAACTTTAAAAGTTGTCATGGTGACTGTTACTTCATTTGAAATAGCGTGCAGAGTTATGTGTTTTTAAAAATTTCTACACAAGTCAAAATAGAAATAATAAATATACTTAATGGATTCAGGATTCAAGGTCCTTATGAATTACCTCTCCACCCTAGAAAAACAATGCATTAAAAAATCGTTAATTAAATATTTTGACAATATATGGATAAAAATCATGCTGAAGATCAGTTCTAAACAAATGTACTTTTTGAAGAAGGAAATTACAGAGAATATAGACAAGTGATGTTTGTGTTAATCCAAGCAGAATTTTAGGGAAAAAGTTAAATATACATGATTTTGCTTTTTCAAGGAAATTTGTAACATAAGCCTGATTATCTTAGGTAAAGTTTTTTTTGTAGCATCACATATTGAGCAGTACAAGAACCAAAATATAGTGTTTTGACCTATAGAGCACTCTTATTTCCATTGTGTTTTGGGAAATGCTAACTGTATCTTCTGCTCTGATCTATCTTTTTCTTTTTCTGGGTTTGAGCGACATAACCAAAAAGAATTTGGAGGTGCATTTCTAATAGATGGTGACAGTTGACCATTTTTAACTGGCAAGAGCATGTTATAGGATACTATTGAGTTTAGTCTATGCCATGAATACCATAGGTTCAGTGGAAGTAAGGAATTTCCTGGTGGCAGAAGGATAATAAATGCTAGAATTGGTCTAAGAAAGGTTGTAAAGCAGCCTTCCCCAGAGAACTTTAGAGAACACATAAATTCCACTCTGCTTAGGATTTGAAATAGAATCCTCCTTAACTGGATGCTAGATAAAGTTTCATGCTTGCCCCAGAGTATATAAAAATATTAGTTGGTAGGGTTAGGGGGTGTCACTCAGTGGTAGCATATGGAAAGTCCTGGGTTCAATCTACTGAACCAAAAGCTTTAAAATAATTAAATAATTACAATTTTGATATGTGGCATTGTTAACATGCAGTGAGAATTACTTTAGTACCTTCTGTATACCTCTCAGTTTTTTCCTGCAGCAGGTATATAGAACAGGACAAATAAAACACAACAAAGAACAGCAGGGAACAACAACAAAAACCAACTCTTTAATATGGGGCTGGAGACATGGCCCAGAGGTCTTTTAAATGACTGGAATTCAGTTCCCAGCACCCATACTAGACAGCTCACAGCCACCTAGCTGTGACTCCAGCTTCAGGACAGTTGATATCTTCCTCTAGCTTCTGCAGGCACATGCATGCATGTGTGCATATGCACACAGAAGCACACATGCACACACACAGGGCAAAATAAAATGGTTTAAATTTTTTTAATTAAAACATAACTTAATCCAAGGAAGACATCTGCTTTTGTGGTGCTTCATTTTAGTAAGATAAGGCTAAACAATAAATAAAATTTATACCGTGTGAAAAGGTTTTACATAGTAAAGAGAAAAACAGAAGCTAGATAAGGGATGTATTAAGGGAGGCAATATATTTTTGGTAAAGTGTCCAGAAAGGGTGTCTATAAGAAATGCAAATTCACAGGGAATGGAGAATTATTCCAGACCAGGGTAATAGTTGTGTGCCATGGAATCTATGAGCCCCCAACTCAAATGGATGTAGCGTATAGTTGCATAGAAAGGTTAGATCTTTTAGCCTCATTAATAATTTTGAGTTTTACTCTGATGGGAAGGCCACTTTACTGAACAAGGTTGTGTGGTGAGTTGTCATGCTTTTAATGAGATCAATGTCTTCATTGTTGAAAGATGGAAAAGGGCAGAACCAAGGAGACCAGGTGTACTGGATAATATTAGAGCTGTTTGGTTAAACTGAGAAGTAGTCAGATTATAAATGTACTCTGAAGGTGAAGTCCGCAAGAGAAGTAGATAGTTACATGTTAGAAAAGGGGATAAAGATGACCAGTCTTTCTACAAGATGATTGGAGAAAATGCAGATGCCATTCACTGAAGTAATCAAGACTGTGTAAAATAGATTTATAGATAGACTATGTTTAAGACCTAAATTGAAGATGTTATTTTAAATCTTAGTGGAAATGTTTTGTATAAATAGTTAAATGCAAGACTATATAATTGAAGAACACTCAGATTAAGAACATTGAGTCAAGCCAGTCAGTGGTGGCACACACCTTTAATCCCAGCACTTGGGAGGCATAAGCAGGCAGATCTGATTTCAAAGCTAGCCTGGTCTACAAGTGAGTTCCAGGACAGCCAGGGCTACACAGAGAAACCCTCTCTCAAAAAAAACAAGACCAAAATAAAAAGAAGCCTTCCCCCTCCCCAAAAAAAGAACATTGACTCATTGATGTCTTTATGATTAAGAGGTAAGAGACTGGAAGTGATCTCAAAGGGATTTAAATGTTAATAGAGTAAAGGCCCAAGGATTGAGGATTGAGGTATTCACATAATTAAGAGGAGGTGAGGAGATGCAATCAGATCTAAAATCCCAGCAAGGGACATAATCATGGAAGAAGAAGGCCAGCTGTCTCAGATGCTGCTGAAGACCCTGGAAGAAGATTCTGGCATTCTATATATGTTGACATGTATATGAATATATAATCATTCACCTGATTTCAGTGTGTCCCTCTGTGTTATTGTAGTCTTCCTATTTTCCACTGTTATGTTCAATATGTTAACTTGGATAATTTTACTTGTGTCTGATGCTACAGGAGAATCCAAACCCTCATATGGCGTTCCAGAAAGTTCCACGCCCAACAGAAGGCTCCCACTTGAGAGTTCATATTCTTCCTTTCCCAAAGATTAATGAAGCCCGGGTTCAGGAACTAATACAGGAAAATCTTGCTAAGAACCAGAATGCACCTCCTGCTACACGGATAGAAAAGAAATGTGTTGTGCCAGCAGGTCCACCTGTTGGTATGTATTTATTTGTGTGTGTGTGTGTGTGTGCGTGTGTGTGTGCGTGTGCTTACTTTAAAAATAAACCTTTTTTGAAATGGGGATGGTGGCACATTTCTATAACCCCAGCACTCAGGAGGCCAAGGCAGGATTGCCCCAAATTCTAGGCTAAACTTGCTATACAGGGAGTACAACACCCAACTACACTATACAATGAGACTCTCTCAAAACCATGAAAACAAAATTGGTGTGTCTTTCCCCCCCCTACCCCCCAGAGAGTGTCCTTTTATCAAATACAAGACACAGCAAAGAGAAGTATATAATTTTATAAAATGAATAAGCTCATGAATTGGAATCAGAGTGTTAGCAATACTCAGATACTCCACCCACACTACCTCTCAGGGAAAATGATAATTATCTGACTGCTACCACTAAAAAATCTATTTCTTAAAACACTTTACTGAGCTGTAGTTCCCATATCAAAAGTTCTCCTACAAGTGTACAGTGCTGTGACTTTGAGTAATTCAGTTAACTCTTCCATTATCACTGTTTAGTTTAAGAATATTTTCTTAAGCCATTTAAAAATGTTCTTCTTTACCTGTCTCAGTGATTTCCTACTTTCTTGCAGAACTACCTTCTCTCTGTGTTGGAGAGTAATCTACTTCCTGTCTTCACAAATTTGCCTTTTGTGGGCATTTGTACAAATAGGATTGTGTAACACGTTCTTTTTGTGACTGGTTTATTCATTTAGCATAATGTTTTCTAAGTTTTTGTAGTAGCAGATGTCAGTATGGCATTGCTATTTGTGGGTGAGTATGTTCAACAATTAGGGAAAATAATGTTCAACAATAAGGGGAAAATATACATTTGACCTTTTTTAATCTATTCATGAGTTGATGGATATTTGGTTCTGCTTTGGGCCTTTTATGATGCATAACTTCTGTGTAGATGTGTTTTAAATTCTCTTGAGTACATACCCTGGAATGAACTGGTGAGGTGGTGTGATACTCTGTGTTTTAAAGAACTGACACTCCTTTCCACAGCACATGCCCTTCATTATACTCTACCAGCAATGAACAAGGGTGTGACACCCCCCACACACACACCAGAATACTCAGCAACTTATTATGTTTGTTGCCTTTTCTTCATCTTCTGTTAATGGTTGCACATACCTTTAGTTTCAGCAATCAGGAGGCAGAAGCAGGTAATTCTCTGAGTTTAAGGCCAGTTTGGATCATGTAGCAAGTTTCAGGGGCAGCCAGGGCTACATAGTGAGCCCTGTTTTTAAATAACTAAAAGAATATCTGTCCAATTTTAATTTGAGCTCTGTATTATTGAATTACTAGAATTTTCTATAGTTTTTAAGTGATTTCCTTAGCAGATGTCTGACTTATAAATACATTCTCCTCTTTTGTGGACTTTTCTTTTTCCTTTTTCTTAAAGTTAAAATATTACTTAATTTTTTATCCCTGATACCACTATCACAATTTACAGGACAATATAGCTAATATAATGAAAAGAAAAAGACAAAGCTACAACAGATAAAAGACCCCAGGAATGTACATCTAGTTGACACTACATTTCATTAACCAATAGATGCACTTTTTTGCAAACTGTGGCTTTGACAGTCCTGAACAAGAAGGACTTGCTGTTTAAGCTGCAGTAACTTTTCTGACTATGAATCATCATTCCTGTTCTGGAGGATTTTTACAGTTCCTCTAGTACATTTAGGACAACTGTCTCAAAGTAACCTGCCACTTTCCTGAAAACTCTTCTCTCTCTCTCTCTCTCTCTCTCTCTCTCTCTCTCTCTCTCTCTCTCTCTCTCTCTCTCTCTCTCATTAAAACCTATTTCTTACACATTTTTTTCTGATATTTTTTTAAAGCCTTCTACTACCATATCTACCACTTCCACCACCAGATCCATAGGCTTCTGATAGGGAGGGACTGCCTGAACTTCTTCCACCAAAATTGTCTGCCTTCATGGGTCCATGATTTGATTGCTGTTGTCCACTGTAATTTCCAGAGTCATTAAAGTTCCCACCACCACCATAGTTCCCTCTACCAAAATTTCCTCCTTCGTTGTGATCATCATATCCTGTTCCACCACCACCATACCCACCACCCTGGTATCTACATCATGATCTACTACCACCATAGCTTCCTCTACTGCTGTAACAGCCATAGTTGCCAATGTCTCCTCCAAATCTGTTATATCCATCGTCGCCACCTCCATAACTACCTCTGCTGCCACCACCTCCCCCCTCCCCCACCATGGCCTCTTCTTCCACCAAAGTTTCCACCACGACTAAACACCTCAGCTACCTCCAAAGTTTCCTCCATGACATATAAAGTTGCCAGGTCCACCTCCATGACCTCTTGTCATCCAGCAGATTGCATCTCTTGTTTAGAAAGGGTCTTTTCCATTTTACAATTATGCCCATTAATAGTGTGGTATTTCTGAACAACAATCTTATCAACTGTGTCATGATCACCCAAAGTTACACAAGCAAATCCTCTTTTTTCCACTCTGCCTGTCTTCCATAACTTCTGTGCTTTCAGTCTTGCCATACTTTTCAAAGTAGTCTCTCAGAATATATTCTTCTATATCTTCTTTAATACTACCAACAACCATTTTCTTCACTGTTAAACTGGCACCGGGCTTTACAGAATCCTCTCTGGAAACAGTTCTCTTTGTTTCTACCACATGTCCATCAACCTTTTGTGACTGAGCACACCTTGCAACATCCACCTCTTCAACCCAAGAGTAGGTCACCAAACCAAAGTCCCTGGAACATTTTGTTTGGGAATCTCTCATTACCACACAGTCTATAAATGTGCCCCGTTTCACAAAATGTTCTCTCAAGCTATCATCTGTAGCTTCAAAGCCCAGCCAACCAGTAAACAGCTTCATCAACTGTTTTTGTTCCTTTGGATGTGGCCCTCCATTTTGAGACTGGACTTACCTCTTCCAACTCAAGTTCAATATGGGACAAAGAGGAAGAGGTGGGGCTTTCTTTACTGAATCTTGTTCCTTCTTCCCCACCAATTGAGGGAGATGTATTAAAAAATGATTTTAGCTCTAGCTCAGCATTCTAGGTGTATCTTGAAGTTGATTTGATAGATGAGTATATATTTGCAAGTGTTATACTGCTAATTGTCATTGTCATAAAATGTGAACTAAGTTGTATCCTCCAAAGGGAAAACTTAATCACTTTAAGACTGTTTTACCATGACTAATACATAGTAATTTTTTCTTGTTACATGGCATTTGTTATTTTAATTTTTTTCCAGGATTTGAAAGATTAGGCTAGTCATTGCATAATTTATGTAGTTTTCATTTATTTGTATTTTCTTTATTTTCCTCCACTAGTTTCAATAATGGATAAAGTGGTAACAGTTTTCAACAGTGCACAGAGACTGGAAGTTGTTAGAAACTGCATCTCGTTTATATTTGAAAATAAAACTTTGGAAACTGAAAAGGTAATAAAATAACATTTTCCCTGTTTAATATTTTCCTTCTAGATTTACATTTTGAAGTTGATAAGTGGTCTGTTTTCTAATTCCCTTTGGAATTAGCTATCTAGACACTAAAATGAATAGTGTCTAAAATTTAAGACTATAGTTCAAGCCTATCAAGAGAATTTGGTAGTCATTTTTTTTCTCTCTAGTTGTTATAATGATTAAATATTATCACTTTAAATTGTGTGTGTGTGTGTGTGTGTGTGTGAGAGAGAGAGAGAGGGGGGGGGGAGAGAGCTATACACATGTGAGTAGTGCAGGCACCTGCAGAGGCTATGGCATCAGAACCCCTGGAGCTAGAATGATAAGTCACTTGATGTGGGTGCTGGGAACTGAACTTGTATCTTCCACAAAAACAATATACACTCTTAACTCTTTTTTTTTATTATTTCATTTTATTTTCTTATTTTTTATATATTAATTTTTTTATTTTTATTTTACATATCAATCCCAGTTCCCCCTCCCTCCCTCTTTCCCTCTCTCCCGCCCTCTCATACCCACCCACCCTTCCACCCCCCCACTCCATATGTAGGCTGATGTCCTCCAGGAGGGGTCATCTAAATCTGTCAAGTCATTTAAATTAGGGACTAGGACTTCTCTCCTGTCTCTAGGTTAAGGGAGTATCCCTCCATGGGGAATGTGCCCCCAAAGTCCTTTTGTGCACCAGGAATACATCCTGGTCCCTTAGACTGCTCAGGCCTTCTAGCTGAGACCCATGTTCAGAGGGTCTGAGTCAGTCCCATGCTGGATTCCCAATTATCAGTCTAAGGGCCCATTAGCTCCTCCTTGTTCAGGTCATCTGTCTCTGTGTGTTTCTGCAGCGTGGTCTTGTCCTCCCTCTCTGCATCTGGATTCTAGTTTGGCTCAGTGTTTAGTTGTGTGTGTTTGCTTCTGTTTCCATCAGCTACTGGATGAGGGCACCATGATGTTAGTCGCCGATCTCATTATCAGGGAAGGGCATTTATGGTAGCCTTTCCACTGTTGCTCAAATTGCTAGAGAAGGGGAAGAGAGGAATGCACGTGGGACTAGGAAGATTGGGTCAGGGGAGAAATAGATGAGAGGAGAGAGAGAGAGAGAGAGACAATAAAAGAGGGAGCCATTATAGGTTTGAAGAGAAAGCTGAACCTAGAGAAATGTCCAGAGACCTATTTTATTTTATTTTTTAAATTTAAATTTGAAACAAGGTTGTTTTACATGTCAATCCCAGTTCCCTCTCCCTCCCATCTTCCCCTATCACTCTCACTAAACCCCAACCCATCCCCTTTCTGCTCCCCAAGGGAGGGTTAGGCCTTCCATGGGGAGTCTTCAAAGTCTGTCATATCATTTGGAGCAGGACCTAGGCCCTCCCCCTTGTGTCTAGGTTGAGAGAGTATCTCTCTATGTGGAATGGGCTCCCAAAGTCCATTCACATATTAGGGATAAATACTGATCCACTACCAGAGGCCCCATAGATTGCCCAGGCCTTCTAACTGAGACCCATGTTCAGGGAGTCTGGGTCGGTCCTATGTTGCTTTCCCAGCTACCAGACTGGGGTCCATTAGCTCCCCCTTGTTCAGGTCAGCAGTTTCTGTGGGTTTCTCCAGCCTGTTCTTGACCCCTTTGCTCATCATTCCTTCCTCTCTGCAACTGGATTCCAGGAGTTCAGTTCACACTCTTAACTCTTAACACACATTTCTCCAGCCACTTTCTCTCCAATTTTAAAGCACAATTCTTTAAACCTTTTTTTTCCCACATACTTCATTTTGTATATAATTTCTTTTTTCTTCTTGTGGTAAGGAATTTAGTTAAATTGTATGGTGTATACTAGAAACTGACACTACAATTTAAATGTGCCTCTTTGGATTTTCTTGCCTTCTTCAATGGAACATGTTGAACATAACATAGCCTTTTCTTGGTGACTCATGATCACATTTCTGAACATCTGCTACAGGAGGTTGGTAAACAAGTACAGTTGCTTGCTACTATACTGAATAACCAACCCATCATCCCTCACTTTTTCATGCAGATTGTTTTTGTTGGTTATTTGTTTGTTGACTGGTTTGGAGGGGTGGGAGGAGCAAGTTTCCTATTGTTTCTCTTCAGCTTTTGCATTCTGTTTCTTTCTTTCTTTGGTTTGTTTTGGTATTAGATTTTTGAGACAAAGTCTTGCTCTGTAATAGTCTAGATTGGCCTTGTTCTACTGGTCACCTTGCCTCAGCCCCTCTGAATACAGGCGTAGACCATCATACCAGGCTTTTTTTAATACCTGCTTCTAGTGTTGTTACACCCTCCTGTTATAATGTTTTCTTTTCTTGCTTATGTGTACCTTCTTTTTAGGTTTTCTGAATTAAATAAGCTCTTTATTACTGTATGCAAATGAATGGCTTTATATGGTGAATTAGAGGAAGCATTTCTGAATATCCTTACAATGAGAGTTAATGCATATATCTAAAGATATCTAAATGTCTGTAGCTTTGCATCATGGTCTAAGCAGCAATTTATTTGGCCACTAAGATTCTGTCAAGTCTGGAGCGGGGAATGAATTTAATGTTTTCTCAATCTACATTATAAGCTACCTGTACTTGTTTTTCTTGCTGTCTTACAAATGAACATACGAATCTATTTGGTCATAGCAGTCAATCACCTGTTCTCTAGAAATTCAATTCTAGTAATTTTATTAAATACTTGACAGGCTGTACTTGAATTTTCAGTGTCGTTGCTTGAGGTACATTTGGTCACTTGGAATTCTCTTGTCCTCAGACCCTTCCTGCTGCCTTGAGGGCCCTTAAAGGAAAAGCAGCCAGACAGTGTCTCACTGATGAACTGGGTTTGCATGTCCAGCAGAACCGGGCAATATTGGATCATCAGCAGTTTGACTATATAATAAGGATGATGAATTGTACTCTGCAGGTAATTCTGAGTGATTTTGGATTATTCCTCTCTTTTGCAAAATCCTTTTTTACAGATGTATTATTGAAGTATCAATATCTTAAGGCTGTTGTAGCTAATGAAGATGTGATTGATATCCATTGAATAACTTTCTCACTAATTGATGTAAATGCTCACTTCTTTGTTCTTTGTTTTCTCTTGACAAATACTATGTTGCTATACTGGAGTCATATATTACCTAATCCTATAGTCATATCACTCCTCAGTCAGTTTTTAGTTGTACTGTGAAAGCAGAGAATAATTAATGATAAATAATCCAATGATAAAAGAATGAGTTATAAGAAACAGTCTCCTATGGGCTTCAGAGTAGGTATATGTTCTTACAGAAATAATATTTCTAAAAATAATGAAGACTCAAGTTAGAAGAAACAATCTGGGTTTCTTGTTTGTTGTTGTTCTGTTCTCTTTAAATATTGAGAATTATTGTATGCCAAGTGATGTAAATAAAATACACATGAAGTATTGTGTAATAGAAACAAGAACCACAGGATATAATTGATAATAAAATTTGTAAATGAAATGAACCTAAATAAATGACAAGGTACACTATATAACAGCTCTCAAAATAATTTCTGGTGGTGATATAGTTCTGTCAAAAATCCAAGTAGATCCATAATCCTCTTTGTAGATATCATCCTTGTCCTAATAAGAATAAGAAAAAGAAAAGTCATGGAGAATTGCCTTGTCAATTCTCAAATAATTAGATAATATAAAATGGCACAGTTAAAATCACATTGACCAGTAAAACAGAAGAAAGAGCCCAAAAAGATGCACACTTATATTGAAAAGTGCTGTGTGGAAAAATGGCATTTTAGAACAGTGGCAGAATTATGACTAACTCATTAAATAATTGTGGGACCGTGGATAAACACATGCACATATTATACCATCAACATGTGCCAGGCATAGTGGCATATGACTTTAGTTCCAGCACATGGGAGACAGAGGTGGATGGCTCTGTTGTTAGTTTGAGGCAGCATGGCCTACATAAAGTGAGTTCCAGGACAGCCAGAGATACATATTGACACCCTGTTTAGGAAAAAAGGAAAAAGTACCAAAACAAAAAGTATGCACTCTCAAATTAAAAAATGTCAAATCCAAATGGGGTAGAGCAAGATTTGTATAAGTCACCAACAGTGGAAATCTTAAAAGATTTTATTTCATTAAAATTTACAACTTCTTTTCATCAAAATAAATAAATAGAAAGCTAGGGAGAGTGACAACACAAGCCAGATATGGCAGTACATACCTCACCCTATGAGGGGAGGCTAACACAAGAGATCTAGAATTAGAGGCAGTCCAGGGCTACATAGTGAAACCATCTATAAAATGAAGAATAATGAAAATACAAACCTCAGACTAATAGATATGTGTAAAGCATGTAATTGCCAACAAATTTGTATCTAATTGTAATAGCATCTGTAGATTTCTTTTTCAAGGCAACCTAATTTTTAAATGGGGAAAACGTAAAGAAAACTGTCTGATTAATAAGTATATAAAAAGATTGTCTAGGCCAGGCAGTGGTTGCACACACCTTTCATCCCAGCACTCAGGAGACGGAGGCTGGCTGATCTCTGAGTTTAAGGCCAGCCTGGTCTACAAAGTTGATTCCAGCCCCCTTTCCTTTCTGCCACCGCCATGCCATCCAGACTAAGGAAGACCTGGAAACTCCGGGATCACATGAGCCATGGCCAAGGTCTCATTGGTAAACACCACAAGCACCCAGGAGGCTGCGGAAATGCTAGAGGCATGCATCACCACAGGATCAACTTCAACAAATACCATCCAGGTTACTTTGAGAAAGTTGGTATGAGGCATTATTACTTAAAGAGGAACTAGAGCTTCTGCCCGATTGTTGGCCTGGATAAGTTGTGGACACTGGTCAGTAAGTAGACATGGGTCAATGCTTCCAAGAACAAGACGAGTTGCTCCCAATATTGATGTTGTGCGACCGGGCTACTACAAAGTTCTGGGGAAGGGAAGCTTCCTAAGCAGCCTGTCATCGTGAAAGCCAAATTTTTCAGTGGAAGAGTTGAAGAGAAGATAAAGGGTGTTGGAGGTGCCTGTGTCCTGGTGGCTTAAACCACCCAGGGAAGTTAATTAAATTCTAACATTAAAAAAAAGTTAGTCCCAGGACAACTGAGACTACACAGAGAAACCCTGCCTTGAAAAACAAAACCAAATGAAAAGAAAGGAAAAGGAAAAAAAAGTAGTCTAAAAAAGGAAAGCTATTCATATATCTAATAAAGGAAGTAAAAAAAAAACTTCTTCATTGAAAACTTTAAAACACTGAAGAAATTGAAGACACTGGGAGACAAAAAGACCAACCATCATGTTCATGAATTGATATTGTGACACCAGAACACTCTCAAGATTTGCTGTGCTCCCTACTTAAATTCCTCCATTTTTCACCAAAAAAAGGAAGAAAATAATAAAATTTATATAGAAGCACAGAAGAGCCTGGATAGCCAAGGCAATCCTGAGAAAAACCAAATAATATTAGAAGTATTATCAGACCTGGTCTCTGGTTGTACTACAGAGCCATAGTGACAAAACTGTCATGGCACTGGCACAAAAGCAGACATGTAGATCAATGGGATAAGATAGCAGAACCAAATATAAGCTCAGATATTGCCACCTGATTTTTGACAGAGATGCCCAAAATGCACATTGGGGGGAAAGCTGCCTCTTCAATGAGTGATGCTGGGGAAACTAGACATCCACATGTACAAGGATGCATCTAGATCCCTGTCTCTAACTCTGAAACTTAGAAGACAAAACAGAGAAAAACATCCTCAAGACATTGACCTAGGAAAGGACTTTCTGAAAATGATCCCAATCACTTGTAATTATATTAAGCATTAAACTATTTTCACAAAGGCATATATATGTTTTCTCTCATTTGTGGTATCTAGATATTATATAGATAAACTTAGGTCTGTATATATAATACAAAATTAGAAATGATACTGTCTAGGGTAACACAGGGATCTTAAAGGAAGGGAAGACACTTGAAAATAAAAAATAGTCTGGGGGAATATACTTAACATACAATATATACTTGTATGAAAACTTAAAAAACAAAATCTGTAAGATACAATTAATAAGATATTAGAAAAGAAGGTAATTTGTGACTATCTTATAAAGCTACACCTGAATCTTATTATAGAACCCAGATATTCCATTAGATGGTCTGTTGTTTATATACACTAAGAGATGTGTATCAGTGTTCTGAGTTATACAGGACAATTAAAGAAAGAGGGTTACTTCAGAAGTCATTTAGGCCCTGTGGCAGCAGAGAATTTAGCCTTGATGAATGAACCTTGAACAGCTTTGCAGAAACATAGTTATTGATTATTATACACAAGTTTTTTGGGAACAAAATAAGTTCCTCATACCAAAGCTCCTAATATAATCTATATGTTTCATGAAGGAAAATATCATACCCCTGTAACTTTAGACCATTGTGTACTGTTTGCAGTACTCAATAATGCAAGACATTATGTGTGTGCCAGGACCATCTTGTGACCAAAGTCATGTAAAGGTTGTAAAGCTTCTTCAGAAAAACAACTCTATAGATAACAAAAAAGAATCACTGTTTTTTACAATGACTTCTCTGAGGTCAAGGTGCTATATAAAAAATTCATTCTAATGTTTATGCTAGATATAGTTAAAACAATTATTTGACTCTAATGTTTACCCTAGGTACAATAATTCTACTAGAATTCCAGTCCAGATGTGCACAAAAATGTCTGTTGCAACATTATTTAAAATAACAGAAAAGCTTGGACCTGGAGAGATTTCTTAGCAGTTAATAGTGCATACTTCTTATGTAGCCAACTGGAGTTGGGTTCTCAGCACCCACATCAGGTGGCTTAAAACTTAAAACCTTTAACTTCAGCTTCAGAGACTCCAACTCTCTTCTGTTTTCTGTGAGCGCCTATGCTCACATGTGCACATAATTCCCACCAGACATACTGTTAAAAATAAAGTAGATCTTAAAATAATAGGAAAGCTGAAACTTGTCAGTGATTGAATGAATATAGAAATATATAAATTTTCTTTCTGTAGGGTATTATTTAGCAGAGATTACAGCCACAGGTAACGCTATGATTGAATTGTAAGATACTTTCTATAAGACAGCTTAATTACAATATGGTTCCACATAAAAAAATCAAAAGTATATAGTTTTATATAAGTATATATAAAAAGTATATAGAAATGTTTAACTTAGTGATGGTAAAGCCACAAAGAAAATCAAAGTCAAGATAATGGCTATGGGGATGGAGATCTAGTTCAGTGATAGAATGTTCCAAGCATGCAGGAGGCCCTGTGGAAATTCAAAACCCCTAAATAGTTACCATTTTGATATTGATTTATTTAATGGTGGTCTCTTTGGAAGACTGTTCAATTCTAAGTAGAAACATGTCAGTCTACATAAATACTGATATGGAAACATTTGTGTTATATAGTAAAGATAGGGTAAAAGATAATTACATAAAGTAGGTATGTGATTCTTTTTTATCTGTAATTACATAAATGTGTACATATAGTTGATTTTAAGTCTGGAAAGATATTTACACTAAATCCTATTAAAAATTAAGTGGGCTTTTCTCAAATGGATTCTAATAGTTTTGACTTATAATTTAAATTCTTTGAATCACATACATAATAATTAAATTACATAAGAGCATATCTTTAATAATGAAAATTATTTTGTAGAAAATAAACCTTGTTAACCTGTATGAAAAGAATAAACGATACTAAATTTTCTCTTCAAAAAACCCACATATTCTTTTTTTCCCCACACATTCTTTGTTATAGTAACCTTTTTTATTCATAAATTACAGACCAAAGAAGTAGGATTGATAAATCATGACGTTAAGAAGTCCTGAAGTCAGACAGTTTCCACACTTCCTAATAACTGAATTAAAGCTACAAAAACTGTATTGGATTTTTTT